TGCAGATGTTTCTTCAAAGAGATTTTTTTCACTCTAGAATAATCATCTGGCTTTGCAGAGTCCTGATGCTTTGGGCTTCCCTGGCATACAAATTGTTCAGAGCCAGTGGTGGACGTGCCAGGAGGCTGCCCCCTTTTTCTTTATGTGAGGCTTGGTTTATTATTGAGAACTTGCTGTGAAAACAGGGTTTGGGAGCCACCTGGGTTTTGCAGGACTCGTTTTTGCTGGTTCCAGAAGGCTCTGAGCCACCTTTTATCATTGGAGGCTGAGCAAGCTCTCYGTAGCATCAAACTGCTGCCTTACAGGTGTGCTAAATGGTGAGTTTGGCTGGAGAGTTGTCTGGACAGCTCTAGCACCCAGGTGTGCCCATGTTCACAGGGAGCAGCCTCTTCTGCAAAGCAGCAGGAGCAGCTGCTGGCCAGTGGCAAAGGAGTGAAACCGCAGCRCTGTCGGAGGGGTCACACTGCCATCCTTTATCTGCACAGCTATGAATTTATGGGTTTCTTTCGTTGTTTTTTTTTTTGCCACCCTAATGAATATATTTCCACTTTTTTTTTTTTTTATCAGGTGCAGAGGACTCTTTCAAGGGAGGTCTGAAACTTCTGGGGAGGCTGGCACTTGTAACAGAGCAGGACCTTTGGACTGTTAATGGTCTTCCTAATGAACATAACTCTTCCGACCACCTGCCCCTSCTGGCGGAGTTCAGACTTATTGAACGGTAATAGCCAGAGGACTCTTTGTACAGCTGCGGTTTCCTTCACCATCTCTCTTCGGATATTTTTTTAAAATTATTTCAAGCACTGCTGGTCCGGTTTTAATATGTTTGCATGCTGATTTGTTAGCGTTGTGTAAAGCAGGCTTTTTAAAGAGACTTTTTTTTTAAGGTTGTTTAAATTACTTTTCAAAGTGCTTAAGGCAAAAAGAAGCGTTTACATTAAGCTGCTTTTTGATAATGGAGAACATCTGTGCCAGTCTCAGAAATGGCATTATTTTTCACAAAGATGCTGTAAATGATTTTTATTGTACATTGCAGTAAAAGTGATTATTCTGTAAGAAGCGTGTGTTTCTTCAAGCCAAGGGGAGTGAGCTCTATGCATGCCACACTTCAGAATGGGCTAAAAGCAGTGCTCTATTGCAGAGTTTCTCTGCTGCCACCTCTATCTAAACACTTCTGCAAAGGGATTTCTTCAGTTACTGCAGAGTCAGCACAGAGGATTATTTTTGCAGTAAGGCAAGTATTTATGCTTGAAATTACTTATTTCTTACACTCTCCSAAGTCTAAACATTAGTAGCATCCATTGAAATCTTCCAAAATATCCCTGAAGTAAAGTTAAAGTTATTGGGCATTCACCACTCTAGCAAATCAAATAAATTCTACAGAAATAAAAAAAACATAGTCCTATGCTTTGATGTCTCAAACAAATAGGGAAGGCTTTTTTTCSATGTAGTTCTTAAAAATCAAGTTGCATATTAGAAGGAAAGCAYTTCTGAACTATTCAAAATTTCGTATTTACTTTCATAATGCCTTGATAATCTTCCTCTGCAAATTTGTCAGTTACCTTTTAAGTCTGAGCAAGAAACTGGATGAGTGGAGTTACAAATCTTATAATTTGGTTGTCTTATTTATGTGTAGCTGTATAAAACTAATTTTATACATTTCTACTTTAGTCTTACTATTGTAGTGTTGGGTAAAAAATGATCCTTGATCTTAAAATCACCCTGTATCTAGAAACTTTGTCCTATTTTCCCAATATCATTTTCCAAATTTTTCATCTTTATTTTCTTCTTCTGAGAGAATAAATATATGGCTTTATTTTGGGCTYGGAGAAAAAAGCAAGAAGGCTGGTGCTGATAACCACATACCAGTTGAAAGGAAAAGGTAGTCCAGGCTTAGACTGAAACAGCTGCCTATCCCTCCCTTCAGCTTACAGGGCTGGGAAGGGATTACTTGCACCTAATTGTGTCTGGGGCCTCTGCTTCTTGATAACAGTCAAMTTAATTATGAAGATAACAGCTTGGTCAATACCTACTCTGATACTTTACTCTAAGCGTGCTTAAAGCTGGAGCAGGTAGATGCAAACACAGCTGTGTACATGACACATGTGCAGCTGTGGAAACTCTTGTGCCTGTGTCAAGAGCAAGGCCCTTGGCCTGCGGGTGGGACTGCAGTGTCATCCTTCTTGCAGAAAGCTGCTGTTSTCCCAGGCAGAGCTGTCAGAGTGGTTTTAGCCTCTTTTACATAGAGGGGATGGGAGAKGGGCCAGTAACCCCTTAGCTGTAAAGGTGTCACTGTCCCCATTAATTTAAAAGCAACCGTGTTAGACTTGTTGACTGATGGTCTTCATGTTTGGCTTTTTCTCAACTATTCAGCAGTGKCCCCAAGCCCTTCTTCAAGGGGGCAGGGAAAATAACATCAGGGAACTAGAGAGAGAGCACTTGAAGAAATACCATAGTGCTTTAAGAGTTTCTGTTCCTGTAGTAGAGGTTGGGGTTGGGATCATAATAAGGATTGCCATCCCTGGCCGCAGGTTATGTTCCACACATCCTTAACCTGTTCTTTGTTCCAGTTTAGGGAGTTAAGACAAGTTTGTTTTTATTAGCATAGTCTAGTAATACTTCTCTAAAGTTTAGTGTTTACTTTGTTAAAACAGAGTAGGTGAGATAGATATTTAATACTCTTAAYAAGCTTCAGTTGATTCCCCTCTGTCATGTCTTGAGACTGCAGGCTAAAGCAATGTAGATAGTTTTTCAAATATCRAACTCTGGACAGTGTGGTACAACATTTCATGTTTAAAAGAATAGCTTCAGGCATTTAGAAAAAAGACTATGATTGTTTATTAAAGTTTCATGCTGTATATAAACATACAAGTGATGGGAAGAAAAAAAAAACAAAAGGGCAAAACAATCATGCACAAGGTTTTTTTTYTCTCTACTACTTACCCCCACTGGAGTGAGCTAGAAAAAGAGTCACTAGAACCACAGGTAGGACAAATGCCATCATAAGCACATTTCAAGAGAAGATGAGAATATTTCAGCTGAATATCAAAACAAGAACCACCCCAGAAGTAGTTTATCACACAGCTCTACAGCTTAGAAAAGTTTCAGTATAAGTTAGAGGTTCAGAGATAATAGTTCTAATTGCTCTGGATATTGGTAAAAACTGTATACCAACCACCCTTGCTTAAAGTTGAAGTAAACCATGATTTCATAGAAAAAAAAAAAAAACTTGCATTGGCTAACCTGGTGCTACAGCTACCATTTATCAAGATTTAACAATTTTTCACATCACTTTCCTCAGGAGAAATCTATAGGATACATGAAAGAAATGTTTAGGTCACAAAACACTGAGCAGCACAAAGGTTAGAACTGAAATTCTGCACCTCTTGGCAAATTCTACAACAAGGACTCCTGTCCTGTGCCAAGGGTATGCCCTTGTAGTCCTCAGCTTCACCCCGACTGAAAAATTCTCATTGGGAACAGAGGAGTAAGAAAGGCTAGGGGAAAAGGGATGGAAAAAGGCCTCCCTCTTTGATCAAAGCTTAAGTATAACAAGTATGAGAGGTTTGAGATGTCTGCTTTCTGGCCTTCTAAGGCCCATTTACTGGAAAACRTTTTACAGTTCAGAGTTAGTGACTCTCCCTGTCATCCTCCTGTCCCAGGCAAGTGAGATCCCTTGACTTCCCTGCGCAAGGAGGTCTCTGCTACCTGCTCATCTATCTCCTCTGTGTTCACTTCATCCTTGCTTGCTCCAAGAAGTCATCTAGGAGCTTCACCCATGCAGCCTGAGCACACGCTGCCATCCGTGCATTATGAGGCTCTGTCTTCTCCGGGCTTCCAATACCCAAAGCCCAAGAGGGAGGTACAAGAGCTCTGTTTATCTACAAGCACAACAGGGAGAGGCTGCACTTCCAGAATGATTCGGCTTCCACTTMGGCACCTCCTGAAACGTTCTCTGGAGACATCCAAGTGCTGCATTCCTGAAAACTTCTCCATGTGAATCCTGTCCCCCACAAAGGTCCTGCCCTATCCCTTGAACACGGCCTTYGTTACCGCTCCCAGGACAGGCCCCACGGCACAAGGCCAGGGCAGGGAGGACAGCAACAGGCTGGAGCTGTTGCCCTTTCCACCACACAACTGTTTTAGTGCTGAACCTCTTTCAAACACCACACATTCTCTTCTCGGGTTGCTACAATGCACAGAGGAAGAACTAACCCCCGTAGTAGCATGAGGGAAGCAAAACTTCAGTCTGCAATGTCTGATCTTAATATAAGATGTCAAGACATGACCCTTGGGGCTGCTCAGCCTTTCAAGGACAAGGTTCCTAGGTACACACAAGCACTGAGAGAAAAATGTAAAGACTCAAAGTAGCAAATCTGACAGGTTTTTTGCATTATTCTAAGAACATGTACAAGAAAAACTGGCACAACAGTGAACTCTTGTTGTCTCTATAAAACAGCAGTCTCCATGTTTTGTGCTTCAGCAATGTAGTTTGGAAAGACTAAAAGCTTGTGACAAAGTATAAAAAAACTAGGAAAGTTTTTWAAAAAATTGGTCAATCATTTAAAAAAACAACTAAACTTCATCTTCTTTATAATAAGATGTCAGTGTTTAAGAGTACACTTGCATATTATACGTTAACCTTTTTCAGCAACATGCATAAAATAGTAACACAGGTGGCAGAGCGCATCCAGTGCTGTTTCAATGCTACCAGAAATGCTAGGAGACAGTATAAATTAGTTACAAAACACTAATACTGACAGTTTTGCATATCTATTAAGTTTAGTGAGGTAATGTTGACACTTCAAGAACTCACGCCACCTCTGCACTACTTTTTATTGCTGAATTAAATATTAATACTGAACATTTTTTTTTAAAAACCACTGTACCTCAGTACATCTTAGTACTAAATATCATTTCATACTCATCCTAGTGCCACCACCCAGCACGGCGCCCAAATTCATTTAATAATAAAAACAATTATAACTAAACCCATGTACCACTGGGAACCACTGCCTCCAACGATGGAAGAAAAAATCCCATCTCCTGGTAAGCATAATTTTAGGTTCTCTTTACTGATGCCATTTCCATGAACTGAAAGAAAATAAATATTGCCACCAAAGAAAGTTTCCTATGCTGTTTTCCGGCACAACTTTAATGAGAAGGTCCACGAGCTGCGAATAGTCCCATGCCTTCTTCCTCGGTGCGGSTGGAGCGCGGCGGGAAGCGCAGGCCTGGGCTAGATGCGCAGCTGATAACCCACCTCGTTGAGCGTCGCCAGATCCGCCTTCTTGTCCAGCACGGCGGGCCTGCAGGCAAAGCAGGGAGCAGCTGAGCCGCGAGCGGGGCCCGCCGCGACGGCGCCTTGGCAAGGCAGGACCAGCCTGCTCCCAAACAGCCCCGCACGGGGCTACGGCTCCCATCTCCAGGGCCGTTTCCTGAACTTCCATCATGTWACCAAGCATTGCATGAGCTGGTTGGGTAGGTTCCCTCTGAAGTCAAGCAGCCCAAAGAACAGTGCCCACCCCAATGCCAACCAAAGGCAGGGAGGTGAATCCATACCTCCATATATAGTATTAGGTCATTAAAATATATTCACAACCTTAAGCAAATGAAACCTGTGGAGGTAGCAGTCTCCCTGTTCAGCAAGCAATGGAAGAAATCCTGCAGAGTTAATAAAGCTAAATAATGCCCATGATTTATAGTCAGAGGAGGTGTCCAACCTGTAGGTTTATTCCAGGCTTTCAGCTGTTTCCACACTCAGCCCTATGAACAGATCCTCCCAGGATCACTTGACTGCCCAAACAGTAAAAGCCCAACTAGTAAAATGTGAAGCTGGTAGGTGCTCTGGGGCCCTCCTCTCCTACAGCTCCTTAGACCTGTTTTTCCAGCTCTTAGGCTGGTCTTCACCTGCTGTGCAGCAGATGCCACCTGCAAATTGGCACATGCAAAGCCAACGTTTAACTCTCCATCCACACAGCCAGCCCCACTTTGGCAGCAGTCGCTGGAGGCCAACAGCCTATTTATTACTCACCTTAACTAGTAAGGACTTCTTCAGCTAACTATCCTCTAGCACYTTCCATGCAGGAAGGGATTGCACCCAAGAAGCCTTGGTGAAGTAATTTGGATTTTTCCAATTTATTCCTTCAGCACAGGGACAATTTGACCAGAAAAAAAGATAAAAGCTCCATCCCTTTGAGCTCATGCAGAAGCCCGAGACCAGTGAGAGGCACTGCGTGAAGCTTCCTTCATGAAATGAATAGTGAAGGAAGAAGTGCCCTTTCTTCCTTCCTCAGATAGAGGCAAGGAGCCTCCGACGTGCCCACCCCTTTTCCCTCCCCTCCCTCCACCTCAAAACATGCTTCCAGTTAAAGCCTAGATGGTTCTAGAAGCTTCTCCCACGATCAAAGAGAGCAGGGGAGGCACTGCCTCCTGAGGGGACCAGCCCATTGCCTCTTCATCAGCGTCCTCCGGCCGCATGCAGAGYGTCCTCCTCAACATCTGCCCCCTTGGGGAGCTTGGGAAAGGGAAGAACCTGCTGGAGCGGAGGCTTCGCGTCCCTGTTCCTCCTTGGCAGGGCCACGACCTCAAGCAGGATGCCCCCTACGCAGCGACCAAGGTTACAACCAGGCCACGTTGCCCCAGTCACCTAACGAGGCCRGAAGGGCACCGGCCAGCGCCCGTGCACAGAGCACACGTGTGCTAAGCCTCAAATGTCCAAGTGAGGAGGAAACGGCCCTGSGGAGCAGCAACTGCTCCAGGCTCTCACATCACCCTTCCTCCCCAGCCTGGATGAACCCGGGCTCCTCCAGCCCCAAATGCTCCTACTGAACAAAGCGCTGCTTTGCAGCCCCAGCCCCGTGGTCTGCCACACACTGCCCCCTCCTACCTCTGGGCACAGGAGAAGATGGGCAAGGGGGCACGCTAGAAGCTGGCGTGAGGCTCAGCTCAGCAATGACCTGCTCCGAGACCCATGTGACAGCAACTTAGGGGGCTCGCACTGCCTATTGCCCCCAACCTGCAAGATACCCCATAGGTCCTGTAGCCGCACATGCAACATGAAGCATTTGCAGGATAAAGTGCTAATTAACATTTGCTTTTAATGCTTGCTTTGTTTGATACTTGGTGATTTTCTGTGGAAAACAACAGCTGGGGAGATCCCTCTCCATAGTATCATTTCAGCTGTGCCACATAATGAGGAATTCTTACGCCTAATYTAACCTTATTATGTTTCACTTGTAACTGTGCTCAGAATGAATTAGGACGGATTTTGTTCTAAGAGCCTAGATCATAATTCTCCTCTTTAAGGGGTTAGGCAGTTTGCTAACAAACAGCAGCATCAACTGAGACTGCCATTCGGTCGGGTGCAGAGTGAACTGGGAGCCGACYGCTGCTGGGAGTCGGAACGCAAAGACACAGGCTGGAAGGTCACACAGCCCGGTGGCAGGGGAGGTGCAGAACAGCGTGGCCCTTTGCTGCTCAGGGCTCAAAGCCATGGAGCTCTCTGTATCCCAGTGCTTCTCCATTGGGATAAGGTTAGGGCTAGGCGCACGCCTGGCCTCACGCACAGAGAAGCGCGCACGGATGCTGGAGCGGGGAGGCAGGAGCCCGTTTGGGAGCACATTCCTGCCTCAATAAAATGCCACCACAGGCACCTGTGCAACACGAGCAGCAAGGAACCAGCACCACCAGCAGCAAGGAACCAGGTAAAGGGCTGAGCCCCTGGCGCCCCTAAGCCTGGCTTTAGCCCCCATCCTCCAGAAAAGCCATCAAAGCCACCACTTCACCGCAATGAATCCTAAGTATTTTTCACAAGGGCCCTCCCCCGGAGGCCCATATAGTTTATTGCTGGCAGGAGGCAGCTGTTATTACAGCAGTTCCATCAGCAGGAGAGGCCCCTCTCCAGCCAACACCTTAAGCCCTTCCTTATCTGCTCACTCGTGCAAAAAGCTTCTCTCCTTCCTCCCACATAAGCTCTAAAAAGCTGTAATTAGAGTATGCAAATAAGATCCATAAAGGGACAAAACGCACTGTCAACAAGCACTGCTGTTATCTAGCAGGGAATTTAGCCTTAAAAAAAACCCAAAGTCTTGTCTAGAAGTCTTTCCTTTTCTACGCACAACACAAAGGCCTCTCACTGCAATCAGGTTCACAGAATCACAGAATGCCGAAGGTTGGAAGGGACCTCAGAGGTCATCGAGTCCAACCCCCCTGCTCACGCAGGGTCACCTAGAGCACGTGGCACAGGGCTGCATCCAAGCGGGTTTTAAAGATCTCCAAAGAAGGAGACTCCACAACCTCTCTGGGCAGCCTGTTCCAGTGCTTTGTCACCCTCACAGTGAAGAAATGCTTCCTTAAGTTCCTGTGGAACTTCCGATGCTTCAGTTTGAAGCCATTTCCTCTAGTCCTATCCCTGCCCACCACTGAAAAGAGGCCGCCCCCCTCCTCCTCACTGCCTCCCTTGAGGTATTTATACACGCTGATCAGGTCCCCCCTCAGCCTCCTCTTCTCCAGGCTGAACAGGCCCAGCTCCCTCAGCCTTTGCTCAYAGGGCAGATGTTCCAGGCCYCTGATCATCCTGGTAGCCCTGCGCTGGACTCTCYCCAGCAGCTCCACATCCCTCTTGTACTGGTTCTCAAGGATCCCATCAACATACAGSAGAAAATGCGCCACTTAGCCTCTCCTCTTTCTGCCCCGCTGCCGGCTGCTGCTCGGCGTGCGCCACTCGGCTCACCCCTGCAGGCACTCACCCCTGGGACCTCAGAGCCTCCCACAGCAGCGCAGACACCAGCAGAAACCTAATTTTGGAACTGAAGCGGTTGTGTCCCCAGCAGGAAGCKCCCAACCGGCTGCAGGTCACTGCAGCCGGGACAAAAGCCAAAGCCAGCCCTGCAGCCGCCAGTGCACCCAGGAGCACCACTGGACCTCAAGAAACCAGTTTTCTCTGCTATCCCTTTTACAACRGTGAGTTTTCGTGTGGCTAAATGGCCCACACAGAACACACTGCTACTCCTATGGCGAGATTCAAAGCTAAATCACTAAAATCACAAAGCTAAAAATCACTAATCAGAACCCTTTGGAAGACCCCTTCTAGGTGCCTGTATCCCCAGTGCCTGTGGGACCAGGGGCAGCTGGGGGCTCCAGGAAGGCACACGCACATTTTGCATTTCTTCAGTATCTAAGCAGCTTTCAAAAGCCTTCAGAGACTCRCTCTCAAGTACCAACAAAAGTCAGCTACTGAAAGAGCTGTCGCTTCACACCACCTTTCCTAACTGAAGTGTTAAGAGTGCCAGGGCAATAGTGAGGCGCTCAGCATCTAAACCTGCTAGCTCCAGGTTTGGGGTGGGCACCCTGTGCCAGACACGTTCAGGAACCACCTCCTCACCACAGCGGGAAGGGCTGCCCCGGGCTCAGGCCGCCCTGCTCCCTGGGGCGGGGACATCCCAGGGGTCTGACATGGGGCAGCATCAAGCGCCTGCCCCACAGCACAGCACCCCACGCTGCTGCCACCCCACGCTGCTGCCACGCACCTTTCTCGGGTCAGGAGGGTAAATATCCTGCGGCACAATGTTAGGATACGGACCAGGATACAGCTGGCAGCACTGAGGTTTTTCTTCCTGTGATCAACCTAACAGGCAACCACCTCCAGTCACCTTCTCAAAATGCAAACAAAACTGGATGCAGCTACAACAGCCATTGACTTTGGTATGCAGCTATACAGATAAAAGCCCTAGACACGTCTCAGTGCTCTGCAAGTGTCTGGGAGCAGCAGCCTCGGTGCGTCCTGCTGTGGCTTCCACCCGGGACCCAGCTCTGAACATTGCTGCTCCACAGGCAGATCATTCCAGCAGCAGCACTGAGGTGGATAACAGGAGAGAGAGAATGTGGATCCCTCTGCTCGTTAGCTATTCAGTGAGGAGTTATATAGGGGAAGAGTTTATTCCCCAAAGAGGAGGGCAAAGTAAATACGCATGCCTCAGGTTTTCCCTGCCTGGAATCYTATAATCCCCGCTTAGAGACACCACTCCAAGCAAGCCAACCAACTCTAATTAAAGGCCAATTTGAGACTAGCCCAAGGCATTCTCCCACTCTGTTCCTTAAAAATCCTTCAAACAGCCTCATTCTGTGCCCTGGAGATGAATCCAAGTCATCCCTACCTTAGGRCAGCAAGCTGAAGCAGACAGGGCACAGAACTCACCAGTGTTCACACAGCTAAGCAGCAGCAGCAGCAACATAAAACTGCCTTGTCAGGCACAGGCTTCGTGCTTCAGCCTTTAACAACTCCACCCATAGCTGTAACGATTAATAAGTGCACCCATGGAGAGCTCTGTCTTGCCAATACAGACAATTCCATAGATGGATAATGAGAGGCCAAGGAGGTCAAGGCTCCAGCATTCCCATGATCAAGGCAGTCTGCCTCCCAGAGCATCCCGCAGGGTAAGGAGGGTGACTTTAAGCCACACGACAGCCCCAAAACAAGGCCTATTAGCAGGGCCATTCCCACCATAGGCTGCAGAAGATACAGCCGCCTGCCTAGTCTGCACTGCCCACACTGCTGCACAGCCCCAGGGGGGCTGCTTAAACTTCTCTTTTCCTTCCGCCCTGTAAAAGCAAAGTAGYCGAGAGGCAGCCAGCAGCCCGAGTGACCACACAGCTCCCTCAAAACCCTCCAACTGGCTCATCTTCCCAGGCCCAGCAAGATTCCCTCTTCTTTCCAAACGTACGTGATTCACTCCAGCAACTGCCTAAACAGTCTTGGAAACTGAAGAGGGAAAACCCTGCCTCAAAAGACTCTAAGAGGTAAAGAGCCGGGAGCAGCGGGGCCTGTTAGAGCTATAATGATCCACACACTAAACAAGGAGCTGTCAGTGACAGGCTCAAGTATAGCACTGGGGACCCAGTATGAAGTCACATGGAAAAATAAAAACCTGCTGCAAAAATCATCCGCTGCTGAAGTCTCTTCAGGTTATCTTTAGAAAACCACTCTCATATCTTTGTTAGCTGCTTTAAAATAAGTGCTGAGGCAGAAGTCTGGGAGCCTGCTTAAGCAGCGATGGCCATAAACACGTGGCTAATCTGGGTCACGGATAGGCTTTCAGCGGGGCAGCCCCGGGCACGCGGCGCGCAGCTGGAACGGGGGCACCGCTCCAAAGCCCAGGGCCTGGGGCATAATTTTAGCCATGTAGAGGTGTCACATGCAGTTGGCCAGCCCTTGCCTGCACTGTAAAAGGGAAACGATTAATTACATACTATATACGGTAAAGGCAGTCTGTTTCTTAAACCATTAGAGAAATCACAGTATCCAAAGTCAGTCGTATTTCTGCCTTGGCAATAAAATACTCCTTTTTTTCCCACATTCTCTGCAAGCTGGGCAGTTCACAGTGAGAACTGCTGTATCAGCAGAACAACCTAATACGAGAGCTAATCACAGAGAATCCAATTTTTATCTGAGTGACCATGATAACAAGGACACCCCACCACCACAAGGGGGTAGGGGCTGCTATTTCTGACCCTTAAGCGTGATCATACTGCTTTCTCTTCTGTGAAGGTCTCCTACATCCCAGCCTAGCTTCTTAGTTTCTCCAAAAGAAATGAAAAGTGAAACACATTTCCACAGCAATTCAAAACCAGGCAGAGTCAGACGGAGCCCATCCAGGCCTCAGAGGTCACAGCACAGAAAAGCAGCCAGGCAGCAGCAAAGCAGGAACAACAGCAACATCAGGGCATGAGCAGCAGAGGTTTCTAGAACTTTCCAGGTAACCAAGATACTCATTGCGCTTTTCCTATACTGGCTAGTGAGCAGAAGCAAGTTTTGAACAGTAAGATTAATGTAATGTCATCACCCTCAAGAAGTTTTGAGCTAGTTATGGCAGCCCCAGGAGTGCAGGAATACTCACGATTTGTCTCTTCTGCAGGGCCGCCTCTGAGGGCTGGCCGGCCTTCGGCGAGGGGACAGGGACTTGCCCCGAGACCTCTCTTTGACTGCAGAGTGGGCACTTGAGGGCTTCAGAATCTGCAAGAGACACAGGAGGGAAGGAAACACCACTCAGTGATGGCAAAGATTTGTTTAAATAAGCTAAATAAGATTAACATAGGACCAAGGATGGCACACAAAAAATCTTTAGCCCCTTCATTTTGTTATTGTTRTCGTCTTTCTTTCTCTCCCCTTCAAGTCCCACCTAACAGGTACCTAAAACTTCTCAGTTAACAGGTACCAAGATCATGTGATAGCTGTTCAGGGGCCCCTTACAAAAACTGTTTGGTGTCAATAATTCAGTACCCAGCTAAATAAGCCATAGATAGATGGGGTGTGTGTGTGTGTGTCTGTGTCTGTGTGTACGTACACACACACAATTCATGCATATCTTCCTTCAGAGCTGACAGGAGCAAGGAACAAGATGTTGCTTTGACCCTCAACTGAAGGGGTCTCATGCAGCCACATTCCATGCTCCAATTTCTCCCTTCACATACAAAGGCCATTTGTCTGTAAGGCAGGTGGTTGATTCTAGGGACTGAGACCTTTTAATAGTCTCATATCCATTCACACATTTTTCTACATCCCCTTTACTCAAAGCTCAGGAGTCCATCAGCATAGTATTCATCTTCTGGGCTATTTTTAAAGACCTGGTGCTTGAAAACCAGCACCCCCACAATGTGAGCACACTAAATGAAATAGCTCAAATTCTGATCTAGCTCAAGGGAATTGCTGTAGCCAACATCAGTGGGGCCAGACTGCATTAAACACTAACTAATAGGTGCAAAATTAGAGACAGTTCAGAGCCTCAGTCCTGACCTTGAGACATTGGGCTGGGACCTGCCRAGCGCCTCAGGCTCCTCCGCTGCCACCTCCGTGCCCTCCATGTGTCCCCAACCCACAGAGAAGCTCTGTCCTCATCCCAGCACAACAGGTGCTTTCATGGTTAACACACAAGCACTGCAGAGTCTCAGCACATGCAGAGTCCTGGTGCACCCAACCGCTGTCCCCTTCACCCCGATGCAYCCCCAACTCCCGCTGGCACCTGGCGTGTGCGAGTGGCTGAGAATGAAGGTCACCTCGCACCTTCCTCTTACCATTCAGAACCCCTTGGTTAGGCTGGGAGCAGGGGCAGCAGGGACTGCAGATGCCAGCCCAACTGCCCAGGCAGCCCTCCCACCCCAAGCTCGGGATCAGGCCGCTTCACCTCCCCCCAAACCACACACAGCTGCTGAACATGGGCCATTCCTCAGCAGAGCAGGGAGCGGGAACCCGGAATAGTTTGGACCCGACTCCGCATAGCTCCACAGCCTGTCCAGCCCCATACTTGGCGAGTCCACCTGCTCTGCTCCAACTGCCAACAGATGGCTGGAAAGGCATCAAATCCCCTCTCACTCCAAGTGGAAACCAAAGCAGTCCTTGGGACAGGGTCAGGAACAGCAGCCAAATCCTCAGAAAGGGCAGCAGCTCACCCATGTTCCCCATCAGCCTGAACAGCCAGCAGGGAAGCACAAGCCTTCTAAGGGTTCATTTTCCTCATCCTTTCCACGCAGCCGACTTCCCGATTTAGCCCGGGAATAGCCCTGCCCGCCGACGGTGGGACACACGCAGCAAGGGGGTGACCCAACAGCACCCTCCAAGAGGAGTCACCCACCACGTGCCTGTCATACCCCRCAGATGGTGGCTTACCTCATTTTCAGTGCAACTCCTCTGCAGACTTAACTCGGCACTGCTAACGGGGTAGAGAAGAGGGCCGCCTCCCCTCCGCCTCGGGAGCCACCGCTTGCTCGTCCTCCACTGGCCGAGTTTGGAGCACGGCACAATCCCTCCACTGCCTTCCTGCCCCTGTTCCCCCAGGGACAACTCATGCCCTCGGCAGAGGACAGGCCTGACCGGCCTTATATGGGGAGCAAGGAGGGAATGGGAGGTGGCCCTCAGTCTTCCCGACCACCTTCTTCCAGACATAGCACCAATGACCCGTGCAATAGCTCCTTGCACCCAGGGACAGTTATAGGCCTCAAGTGTTTCTTAAACTGAAGGATAGGTCTTATAGTTAAAAAAAAAGTTATTTAACAGTGCTCAAAGACACACTGGAGTGTAGAACCACCAAAATAGATTTCAGCACAGCCCCATCGCACCTGATGCACTTTAGTCTCACCAGGACCAGGACCGGCCTGTTGAAATGGCTCCCAAGCATCCCGAGCAGTAAGGAAGCTGCCCCCATGCTCACAGACCTACCTTCATTCGCATATCCCTGGCAAACTTCTCCAGCTCCTTCCTGACATCTGTGCGCATCATCTTGGATACATTGAGGACCAGCTGTTTCCACTCGATGGGCTGAAAGCTGTGCGGCTCATGCGGGACGTATAATCCGATTTTTACTTTTTTCACTGAATGCAAGTACTTTTTGTAAGAGTCTTCAAATTCAAAGATGAGGTCACTCAGAGTTCGGTAAGTTAAAGGTTTGTCCATCAAATCTGATCGCCTGCTCATGCCCAGCGAGCCATACCGGCCATTGCAGTAAATCCCAAGCACCACATGATGAAAATAGTTCCCTGAGAAGTGGGTTTTAAAGCTGATGGGGAATCGTTCCACGGAGGGCTGCCCATTCGTCAAGTATCTGGCATGCACTACGTCAAGGCAACAAGAGGTCTGAGAAGGGCACAAAACAATTATGTCTGTATGACATTTTTAGAAGTTTTCACTGTCAGGGCTCATGCTTTCTTACAAACATGAATTCATTCGCACTGTGCCCCAGAACAGTAACCACCACCAATACCCTGATACTGTCTGGAGAATAAGATGCAATTACTGAGCCAGGAAAGGGCCTGACTTATCTACAGTTAAGGCAAAGAGTAGGAGGGAAAATTGGACAGTTTAGGATGCCAGCAGAGAGATGAGCCCCCCACCCCAGATCCTTGGGACCTCCCTTACTTGATACCAGTCCCAAATTGCTTTGTCCCCAAAAGGGAATGGCGTTTCAGTTCCACACTGGAGCTTGGTATGGCTCAGGTTGTTGCTGCTCACACTTTCACACCTCCCTGCAGCCTTCACACAGTATCATGGATCGGAATTTATTCCTCTCCAGGACAAGACAAGTCCTAGCTTTCAATCTATACATGGACATGGTTCAATCTATACATGGACCCTTGGTCTGGCTGCTCCTGGTACAGAACATCTTTACATGTTGTACTTGAAACCCACTGCTGGGACGCAGTCAAGAAAGGCTCCCAGGTCCCCATTTTTCTCCAGATAACATCTGCGCCTAGCTGTGTGTACTTAATAAACAAGTAGGAATCAACCCAGCCACAGAGTTTGTTCCTAAATTTCCAGCCAGCTCTTTCAAAGGCACCACGTGGGAAGCACAGGGACCAACACTTGTAAGGAAGTAATACCTGATCTCGGTTGGGAACTACACGTAGGGGTCCAACCATTTCCTCGGGACCACGATGGCTCTCGAAAAGGCAGGAGGAGAGGCTCAGTTTGCGTCAACGCTGACGTTTCCTGCAGCTCCCTGCTGTTAATCCACACGGACAGCTGGCACCCGCCTCACTCCAAGAAGGATTCCCCGGCTCTGCAGGCAGCTGCCTTCCCTTCCAAGGTCAGGGCCGCGGGGACGGCACGGCCTGCGCCGCACTGCTTCCTCCCTCATGACACCGGCAGCCGTGACTTGGCGCCGGTCCTGTTCCCTGCCTCGTGAGCAGGGACCGCCGGGCCTGGCCGCTGCCCGGGGCGCCGAGCCAGGATCCGCGGGGATGAAGCCGCCGCGGCCTCAGCGCGAGCCCGGCGCCCAGGCCCGGAGCCTCCGGCCTGCGCCCTGCTGCGCTTCCCGGCGGCGCTGCCAGCACAACTCTGATGCYGACCACGAGCCTCCGAACACACAGTGCAGGGAGGCAAAATAYAGACCATTAAAATAAACCACCGCCACAATTCTGGTTCTGCCCAGCCTGACGCCTCACCACAGCAGCAGTGCCGMATCCCTAGCTGTGATTCTGCTCCCCGTTAGCACTCCACAGTTCACATTTTTTTTTTAATGTACAGGAATGCCAAAAAGAAAAAAAGCACCCAAATGTGACCTTCATCCATCTCCAAGCAATTTCTCCAAACAGTGTGCCACTCACGTGACGCCCGCCCAAACTCACACCTTCAGACTGTTTATCCAAGGCGAACACAGCTCAGGAACATGGTACTGRAATTCCTGAAAAACACCCAGACTCTGAGGTCAAAAGCACCGATTTAAAACCCAGCCAAACAAAAATCCMCCGCACCCGCTGGCTGCATCTCCAGGACAACCACAGCCAAGCATCCGTGCTCAAACACGCTTAGCTGTGTTCACAGCCGGGTATCATAAGCACTAGCAGCTCTGAGAAATGCATTAGAAGGTGCAGGAACAAAGAGGGCTTTGGGCTTCACACTTCAGTATCTACTCGAGAGATAATCYGGACAAGAGCACAGAGCAGAGCACAGATCTCAGGGCAGCAGAGACAATTCACCAAGCATTAGATACAGCCAAGCTTAGATAAGGCCTGGCCCATCTACATCAAACAGGAACGCTGGGCACCCATTAGAAATGCTCATGGTGCTTTAACACTGCACTCACGCAAACAAGAAGCAACTCCGCTGCCTTCGGTGGTCCTGCTGAACCTGTTGAATCAGAACCAACTCCACCAAAAACAATGAATAAATCCCATGCACCATCAGCAGAATTTAAGATTACAAATACTCTGCAAGGTCAGAATCAGGCCCTGCACCATTATATCCACTGAAAAATCCAGCCCACAGTCACCTCATTTAGGAGGTCACCCTGCTCTGGGCCGTAAAAGGAACATCCTGTATAAATCAAAGTCAGATTACAATAATTTCTGTCCCATGGATGGATTCTTGTGGAAGCTCCTCTTTGTATTTATTATTCTGTGCAACTGAAAAAGCAGTGTCTTTTATTAACACCTGGGAAGCTTTCAAACATCACCACTATTTTTCCCTTTAGTAATAAAGGGGTTTTCCCTCCATGCTCCAACTACCTTTCTATTAAGTCCACACAAAGCTTTTGTGGCCACCTGCCACACATACACACACTTCTGCCACAAGGTCTTGGAGAGGCTGCAATTTAATCTCATTAAATACTGGGTAGCAGTAAGACTTTTGAGGGAGAAAATTACTCACCATCAAACAACCCAGCAACAACCACCATGGAAATTAACCTTTAGGTACAGGGTGCTTCTGCTRAAGTGACTAGTTAATGAGAGCCTCTATCCGAGATGAAATACACAGGAAATGGCCTGGAAAAGAACATCAGATCTTCCCTTATTATTTCTTTTCTTTTCTGCTTTGCCCAAGTGGAAATATATTGTAGCAAACAAAAGGCAATGACACACCAGTGCCACAGCTGTAATCACGATTTTGAGCTAGCACTGAAACTGCAGGACTGCGAGTCAGGGAGTAAATTACGTGCCACCATATAAAGGCAGCACAGAACGGGAAAGGGCAGAAGCTGCTTTAATGGCAGCCCTGCGGCCTCCAGATTCTGGGCCCTCACACAAATCAAAGCAGCTTCCTCAGGGCCTGTCCCACCGGGCTGTGCAGCARAAGCGAAGCTGTTCTGGCAGATGCCAGGCTCCTCAGGGACCATCCCGGAGGGACATCAATCTTCCACCTCCCTCCCTGTCCTCATGTGCCGCCTCCTCCCCAACTCCCTCATGCCAGGAAACAGGGAGGACAATCCCTGGAGCTCCATCCAGATCCTCGGACACCACTAGCATGTGAACAAGAGCAGCTCATCTTTAAGAAACCTCCCAACCCTGAGCTCATCTGCAGCATCTCACTTGTTGTGCCGCATTTCCATCTTAAAGACATCACCACCCGCTAGCCAGGGCCTGATGGACTCCGCTCTCCTACTCAGGAGGTCCATTTTGAAAACATCACACTGGAAGAGCAACTGCATGCAGAACATGCAACACCAGAGGGTGACAGTCCATTGGCACAATAGAGCCTGGTTCCATAACAAGCAGTCTCTCTCAAACACGCCAGCACTACCAGCAGCCTGCAGAGAGTCCAATCCCCTGTCCCACCCAGTGCCCCTACAGCCCTGCAAGCCAATACAAGCGGCACTGAGGTTGCACGTTTCCCTTAGACACACCTTAGAGCAATCTTTCCACTCAGACTCCTGCTCTTCACTCTAGGATCTTTTCAATTGGGATTGGGGGCTGAATCCCCAAGATTTTCCTGACACGCTTCCATTTACAGCTGCAATTCTGCCCTATTGCACCTTTCACATGACAGCACCACTGWGACCATGGGAATCAATGTTAAACCACACAGCAAAGATGAGCTGCTATTTTGAACACTTGACCTTGCCACATGCTGTACTAGCATGTTAGTCATCCTGTGAAACCCACCACCTTGCTCCAGGTTTGTTCTGCTTGCCAGCTGAACCCCACGCTAGGGGGTTGGCAGGATCGGGGTGCAGAYGGTGCTTGTTGCTATTTTAAGAGGATTTACTTTCAAGCATCCTTGGCTTTGATGGTACRAACACAGCAGGAAAGCCTCAAAACCAACTTCTTGACTTAGACATCTTACCTAGTTTTGATCCTTGGGGACACTGAGATCCCAGACGCAAGTACGAGACAGACTTTGGACACAAAGCCAATGCCCTGGCCACTGCATGAATTTTCCTGGGCAGTGGAGCAAATTAGGAGTAGTAGCCCTAGTGAGTTCAAAAGAACATAGGCAAGTTGGCTGAGTTAGGCCCTGCAAGCAGCAGGTTGGGAGTCAGACAGTTACTTTTAGCACCCTGAAGTAGAAATAGGTTGTAGCTGCAGAGATTGAAAAAGCACAGCCCCACAGCAACTCAACCAGTGCTTTACAGACAGCTCCTCTGAGGTTTTTGGTGGTGTTTTTAGCAACATTTTCAGGTGAATAATATCTTCCAAAAAAGTCCAACACAAGTCTCAGGATTACTCCACAACCCAATCTGTACCAAGAGGCAATATGTACCAATGTGATCACATTGAAGGGCACAGAGCAGATCCTGATCAGAAYAGAAACTTGTTTACTTCTCAGCAGAAACCTTTAGAGGGAAAAACTTTCATCTCCATTTTCTTTTTTAGGTAAATAAGCCGAGAAGAATCCGTATGCGCCAGCCCATGGCTCTGGGCTGTGACATTTCTGGAAAGGGCTGTGGCAGCTGACTGCATCCACACGGCAGCAGCTGCCTTTCTAGGGCTACGTGGGCTCCGCTTCCTTCCTCCCGGCAGCTTCGCGCAGCGGCCAAGATCCACAGCCAGCTGGATGTGATGGGAGCCGACACTTGTAAGGGCTGTGTCTAAACCGGCTCCCACACCGAGTAAACATCAGGGACAAGAGCAGCACCGCTGCCACACGGGCCTGCCGGCTGCGCACGGGGCCCGCGGCGGCAGGTTGAGGGACGAGTGCTGCCACCCAGCAAGGCGCCCTCTCCGACAGGGCAGGATGCAGGAGGCCACTCTCGCTCCCACCCGCAGGGATTTCCCTGGCATTGCCCTGTTGGCAGCGAGCCAGCCAGAGCTGCCAGCCAGGGAGGGCTCGGACAGCAGGGCACCAGGACAGCGCAGAGCTCCCTCCTTGTCTGGTGCCCCAAAGCAGCCCAAGAATGGCAAAAGCAAGAACAGCAGAGGATGGGAGAGAGACTATTTTTTATAGTTCTGTAGGGGAAAAAATGCCCCTAAGTCAGTCAGTCTGTGCAGTGAGGCCCCAGAGCAGGAACAGCTTGAATCAGCCTCAGATAGGCTCAGTTTGAGGTAAGCAGCCACCTCAGCTGCCTGATGAGACAAGTCAACAGCAGCTCCCCCAGTGTGTGTAAGGCCCTAAGGTATCTCCAGGACCCCAACCTACAGGTCCTCCTCTGCCAGCTGCAACACCTGCAAGCATTTCCCAGGACAGTTTCTGGGATACTAGTAGGTGTCTTCACTAAAAACACTACTCTGTCTCATAAAGCAAAATCCAATGAACCTGGTATCAAGCAGATGAGCCCTCCTTACACCACTTGTGCTATTCAACTCCATACTTGTTTAAAATCCTCCCTTATTTAATYCAGACAAGATGATGCAGTGATGCTTCTTGTCTTATGGGGGCACTTGGGAGGCTTGCGGAGGGACACGTGCAGGGACCTTCCTGCTGAAGTCCGAGTCCAGCACAGAAGAGCACAGGCTGTTCCTGCCCTCTTGCCATTCCCCGAGCAAGGAAAGGCCGAGCAGGCCCTCTGAAYGTCACAGCAGGCTGTGACGCACAGCACCCCACGCACACTTCACTRCAAGTCAAGGGGGTGAAAGCAGGCTGAGGATGAGAGAGGGCACAGCTTTATTTAGGCTAGCAAAGCTGAAGCTGCTAGCTCAGAATGAGGGGGATCTGCAAGAAAATGAACCTCACACTTCACAGTTGTCTGACAAGCTTCAAGCTTCAGCAAAAACAGAGAAGCTATTCTTTTTTCAAAGCAGCCAAGCAAGTGCTGGCAATATCAGACAGCCTTTGATGTAAACACTCGGAAAAGCTTCAAACCTCAGTCTGGATTCATGCTGTAGCTCCAACAGAGTCCAGGAGCATCAAGATTCAAGAAACTCTCACACTAAAAACCTCTTACTGCCAGGCAAGAGAGTTTTCCACCAGGCAAGAGAATCAGGGTGAGCACAGGACTCCCGCAGCAATAAATACCATCCACTGCTAAAATGCACAGAAGGCACAACACAAGCTATTAAACACCTCTCCCCTCTGCCACTTCTGTATTGCTCTATTCCTCCTCATTTAATGACACTATGCAATGGGGGGAGATTATCTAACGCACTGCACGTCCCTGGCTCACCTCGCATGAACTGGGATGGGCACTTGGGTCAAGGGCAGCCAGCCACACTCATCTGTCACAGACTACCCTCCCCAGGGGCAAACACATTGTGCCGCTTCCTCCTCCAACATTTTGCTCTYCTCACTTTAATAACGGGGATACAGCATGAATAAAATTCCCTTGGCGCCTTTTGGCTCACGATTCCTTTTCTTGACATAAGTAGTTTCGATCCTGCACCACTGGTGGCGAATGCCCCATTACTCCACTGATTTGCGACTGCACAAAGAAATCCCCTGGAGAGGGCGGCAGGAGGAGTGCTCCCGGTTAGGCACCGGTGAGCAGACCATGCAAGGGGAGATGCACAAAGCCTGCACAGCCATGCAGAGCAAGAGATCCGTATCTATCACCACAAGACATTTACGAGCATCTAGAAATCCTGTAACAGCAGCTCCCTTGGCACACATAGGGAAGGTAGCTCGGTATTTAACCCACGGCAATACAGAAATGTTTCAAGATGCATCTAGGGCGAAAGCAGTTGCACAGCGCTTAATCCCGCACCAGGAAGGATTACGGGGGTGTTTATAATAAGTGGCACAGAAAAAGCCAACCACACGAGCCAGCGAGCAGCTCAATTAACATGACATCTCGCTAAGCCGCTCCACGCGGCCAGCCTGGATGGGGCTCGCAGAAGGCTGTGCTGCTCCGATGGGCCCTAGTCAGCGGCCGAGCAACACCCTGCAACCAGCGCCTGGCACCGGGGGGCACGGAAAGGAGCCCCACACACACACACACACACACACAGAGGCTGGGGGCTCAGCCCAGGCACGTTCAGAGACACGGATGTGACACTCAGGAGAGTGAGCGGAGGGAAACAGCATCTCTTATCTGGTGACTGCCCGACCTTGGGAACCACGTTGCAGACCTCACTGTACCTGCCTGCGGAGGCTGATGCTGCATATCAAAACCTCAGGGCTGGGGGAAAAAAATAGTGGTGAAATGTATGTATTTTCAGCAAACCCAGCCAGCTGCTGTGAAAGAGACTGGCATTGTGCACACGCAGCACGACAGGGCCAGGCTCTGCGAGGACACAGGCACCAGAGGCCAGCTGCAAAGCCCGTGCAAAGCCTGCACACTCTCCACGGCTGCACACTTTTCACACTCATCTCACAAGCAAAAGCTTTGGATTCTTTTGTTGGCCGATACAGAGGGAGCTTTAAAATTTCTTCCCATGAACCTGCCACAGGCCTACCAGCCCTGCAGATGTGCACTATTCTTACACACAGGACTTTGAAGACAACCACCAGGAATCACAGAGGACGACAGGCTGGCCCCATTCCCTCCCTTCCCAATCGCTTCTGAGCGTTAATTCCTGAGGAATTAACATCAAGAGCCAGTTGTGAAACACACGCACAGCAACCAAGGTCCTACTGACAAGTCTAGTTGATTCAGCAGCCTGCTGGTCAGCACCTTGGAGACTCTCCAGGCTGTTCACACTCACCCTCAGCTCCAAACACCTCGAACATGCAGGACAGGCAACGTGTTAAATAGTGCTCCAGTGGAACGAGACACATGAAAGGATACATCCCCAGGATAACTGCTTCAAGGCATTTGATAGGTAAGGACTCCCTGGTCATTTCTCTTGCTGTCTCCATTAACCTAGGATGGAAGCAAAAAGGTTTTTAGACATTTCAGTCAGAACAATTGACCAGAATCAGAGCCAAAAACCAGATACTTCTTGTTCTCATCGCAGTAAGCAACAGTGAACACGATTCTCCTCTTCAGTGACTTGCCAGAGCCCTGCCAGTCTCTGGGAAAAACCAAACAGGAGCTTGGTATCCTTGTGCCTTCCACACCTTGGCAGAGCACTGGCGAAACGCAGCGCTCTGCCTTGCTCAGGAACTCCGGAGGATGAGCATCAGCCCAGGCCACAGCACAGCACCTTGCTGAGCTGCACGGTGACACTTGTGCAAGCTCACACATCAGCACCAATTTAGCTCATGTCTACAACACCCCTCGCTCTCCTCTGGAGGGAGAAAACACACAAAGAAAAACACAGGGAAGAYGCTTACATGATCATGTCCCCTTGACCCTGTGGCTATAGGCGCAGCAGGAGACAGTAACTTAAAGGAGGGCTAGGGCTCTTTACTGAAATCTTTACTCTGCAGAAAGCTCAAACTGGACAGACACTGCACACAAAAAAGGAAAATGGTTTAAGGGAAACAAAAACAAAACAGGGAAACAGAAACAAAAAAGGGAAACACTATGTTAAAAGTCTTTGTATTAGAGATGATAAAAATACACCTCTCATACCATTTGAGTTCTGCTTTTCTCCACTAGCTCTCCTATCCTAGGCATTGCAAGCCKTATATTCATCTCAAGTGGCAACAGAGCGGCTGTGCCATTACCGCCTGTCACAGCAATGCCGCTCCCAGTTTATCCGAGCTGGAAACCATCCTTTCCTGTGCACAGAGCCGCCCGCCTCGCTGCGCCCGCAGCGCGGAGGACGAGCGGGAGCTGCTCGGCCCCACGGCGCTCGCAGAGCCCTCCCGCGCGGGGGGCGACGGGCGGCCGCAGCACAAAGGGGCCTTCACGGCCCCAGCGGCTCCTTCGTGCCGGCCGGGCCCAGAGCTGCCACGAGGCCTCACGTCAGCCGGCAAGTACGGGATGAAAATGCACAGGACCGCTGGATTTGCAGCTCTTCTCAGTGTGGCCTGTAACRGGGCAAGGGGAAATGGCCATAAGCTGAAACACAGGCAGTTCCATCTCCATGTGAGGAAGAACTTCTTCCCTGTGAGGGTGACAGAGCCCTGGMACAGGCTGCCCAGGAACATGGTGGAGTCTCCTTCTCTGGAGGTCTCCAAACCTGCCTGCATGCCACCCTGTGCCCCGTGCTCTGGCTGTCCCTGCTGGAGCAGGGGGTTGGACTAGATGGTCTCTAGAGGTCCCTTCCAACCTCAACCAGTCTGCGATTCTGTGGGTCCACAAACAACAAGAGCCACTGAACGTCTTAATTTTAGCTTCAGGGAGAAAAAAAAAGCTGCAATTCTAAGTGTGGCAGCCCACTGTAGAGGGAAGGCAGGGAAAAGCTTACACTGCAGTTTCAAGCTATTTAGCAGCAGATAAAGGAGCTACAACAGTAGCTGTTTCGCTGTTTTATCTCGACTCTTATCCATACAAGTTTGTTTCAATAGCAAGAGCACTTCTGCCCCATAATGAATATAGCAACAGATCCGTAACATTCTCCCTTTGTGTGAGGAAGCAGCAGCAGATGTTCAAATGCCTTCTTAAGTCTATTGTCTGGCAATGGTATCAAATTTTTCTTTACAGCTCCATCAGGGTTCCTTAATAACATGGTGTGTGCAAACAGCATTCTTGCTTCCTTCCCTGTTATTTAGTTGCATAATTCCCACGTGCCTGCTTCTATTGTACTCTTCCTGCAACTGATCATCCATTATATTTGCAGTCACAGGAATGTCCGTCCTTACTGGATCATGTGAGCGGGAGTTTCTCAGAGTCCCTAGAATCCTACCCAAACCTCACGGAACGGTGGAGGTTGGAAGGGACCACTGGAGATCACCTAGCCCAACCCCCTGCTCAAGCAGGGTCACCAAGGGCAYGCGTACCAGAGGCCTGTCCAGGTGGCTTTTCACCACCTCCAAGTGTGAAGAATCCATGATCTTTCTGGCAACATGCTCTCATGCTCTGTCACCATCACAATAAGAAGCTTTTCCTCACRCACAGACAGAAATTGCCCAAGTTTCAGTTTGTGCTCGTTGCCTCTTCTCCTATCGCTGGGCACCACTGAAAAGAGTCTGGCCCTGTGTTCTTTGCACCCTTCCTTCAGACACRTACATTCACTGATCAGATCCCTCTCCAGCCTTCTCTTCTCCAGGCTGATCCACCTCTCTCCACCCTTCCTCCTATGAGAGATGCTCCAGTCCATCATYCCGGTAGCCCTTCACGGGACTCACTGCAGTAGCTCCACATCTCTCCCAGGCTCTGAGGAGCCCAGAACTGGACACAGTTCTCCAAGTGTGGCCTAACCAGGGCCAAGTAGAGGGGGAAGATCTCCCTCAATCAACAGGTCCAACCAATTAGCTCGCAACTAACCGGAGGGAACAGCACAACTCCACACACATTTAGATGACRCAATCACACCCAGTTACTTTGGGTAGGACAGAGATATTTTGTTCCTCTCCTGTGGTCAAATCTCTACCCTAGTGCAGAAGCTTGCTGAGACTTCATAGCTTATTGTAAGACCAGCAACACGAGCTSATTAGTGTTTCATTAATAGCTATAGCCATTATTAAATGTCCACAAATATCTTTTTCCCCAGAAGCTCTTACAAGTTCTTTGCTTAGGAGTTTTAAAGAATGACAATTTCAGTTAAAGGTAACACTTTTTACCAGAATGGCCGCATCAGCTAAAGCTACAATGAAGTTCTGCCAGCACATCCTGCAGGTCAAAAGACAGACCTATCAATGAATGTCTGAAACACTCGTCACATACGTACACCTACTGTCAGCGGGAGCAGCAGAACTCCATACAGTGAGGTTTCCTTCTCCAGTATAGGAGAGTAAGACCACACCAAGGGCATTATCCTGGGACAAGATACCTATATATTATACTAGCAAAGCACTCAAAGTGGATCCAGTTACATCTGTATTCTGGATTTGTGCAAATACAGCAAATCCCAGCAAGAAAGGATTCACTTTCAGGAGCAGTTTGTCAGTACAACAGGGACAACACACAGTTTGTTCGATGACATCTCAGCCTTGACTCACAAGGCTATGTCAACAGAAATCTAACATTTTCAAAAGCGTTATCTCTAGTCTAGACAAACCCAACGAGTGCCTGGCAGTCTAGATGCAAGTTGATAGCAAACAGTGACTTTTTCCTCAACAGAGGCTTTAAATTTTGAATCATGTCAAGCTTGTCTCCCTTAATGTTATGAGTCACCTATAGATAATTTATGCTCCTTTTCAGCCCAGTCAGGCATTTTTATTCCCTCATGAATCACATTGACACTCACAGTAAATCCCCATAATATCTAGTTCTCCCTCCATAACAGACATGCTCATTAATATGCCCCAGCTGTTTTAGGACACTTCCACATGAATTTATGAATATTCAATTTCCATCTAGTGTCCAACTTGTTTGCATCCAGACACGGCTGTCTTCAAGACAGCTACTGTAATACTTTCATTAGCTTCAAGCCTCTAATACCAGATAAGCAATATGCTTAATATCAATAAAGCAAGGATCTCAGGACAACCACCTCTTCTCCCAAGGGCCAGGGGAGCAGCATCTCACTGGGCTGACCTGCTAATACAGAGCTGGTCATGCAGGTGTCCTGCTGTTACTGAGCCAGGAAGGGTGAGAAATCCTGTGCTTTTCCTACGTGGTTCCCCACACTGGGATCAAGTCCTTGGCTCATAGCAGCATTTGGAGGCACTCCGGCATTCCTGCTCCRGGAGCAGCTCCTTCCCAGACTGCAGCAAAGCCTGGCGAGGAAGAGCCCTCTCCTTTCCCTCCTCTCCCTCCCCAGGCCCATTTGCAGCCCGTGTGGCCATCCACGAACCGCAGGGGTTTGTCAAGAGCAGCCCTTGGTGTCCCAGCACAAGCAGCCTGTTGTTGCAGAACATCTTGCAGACAAACTCCTCCAGCCCATGGATCATAGGCCAGGCGCCAGCACAGGACAACGCGGCTCCAAGACACAGCTCAGATGCAAAACAGGYCACCTCCGAGGGAAAAATAAAATAGTGGAGGTGTGGGTGTTTATTAAACTGATAGAAAATGGACTGGTGGGGACAGGGAGAAAAAGGTCTCCAAGAACTGCACGAGGAGACATCCTCAGCTGGTGCAAACAGACTGCCACACAGGTCAGATCCAAGCTCATACAGGAAGGTCTTTAAGAACCTACAGGGACGTCTAAGTGTTACTCCTCTTTTCCCAACTTGGGAGAAGGAGGAGAAAAACAAAACAAAAACAAAAAAAAACACACAAAAACAAACAAAAAACCACACACACAAACAAGCAGCATGAGTTCTCCAGCCGCAGTGCAATATTACAGATYTGGGACTAAGTATCCTCTTAACAGCTTCACTACTCTTAGCACTCCTGGTAACTTCTAATCTATTGGAGCAAGAAGCCAACAAAGATGGGCAAAAATAAATGAATTTAGTGCTGTCCAATACAYGCCAGTTGTGACATCACAAATTGCCATCAAGGTCCCTAGACAGGAGGCCCTTTCTTGGTGCCCTCTCAGTAATCCTGCAGAAGTCATATCACAAAAGTGCACAGCAACACAACAAGGAGAGAAGTCAAAAAAAGAGCTCCCAAGCCACAAACGCTAAGGCAGGTAAACAAGGGAAAAGTGGGCACTTAAGAAAGGATCCAAAAGCCCAGGTGCATCTCCAGAGGTGGGCGTTACTTCAGTTCACTTTCGGGAAGAAGTGCTGTCCTCTCTGGTCAAACCTTTACCAAGCTCAGGGGAACGAACCTTTCAAGGGATAAATTTTGAACAAAATCCACTTTCATCCTCCATGCCCTTGGCAAAGGATAATGCGAAATATTTAAGAATAAGTGACCAGCCTGAAAATTACTTTAAGCTTCTATAAACCCATCCATCACTCAAGACATTAGATTTTTCCTAAAGAAGTCCCACCTGGCAAGTCAGTAAAAACTCCATAAAAAATAAAAAGCGTGTGAAAGACAGCTGCCAGCAAGGCAAAAACATGAAGTCTAGAGCTCTAAAGGGAGCTGGAATTTACAGCGACAGGCCATCAGATGAACAACAGCCAGCTGGGGAGAAAGAGAGCTCAAGCCACAGGAGCAATTACACTCTGCTCATCTAAATCCCCCACTAAGAAAAAGCAGGATGCTGTCAGCATCGCTTCCTGCTCCAACCTGCCAAGTTTCGGGGTCCTGTTAGTGCTGTCATCACTATGATGCAGTTTGTAACACAAGGGATCCCAGCTGTGGTGCCAGGCTCCCTTCACACACATTCCTACTGGCACCATCAAGCGAAGCACRAATCAACCACATGGAAGAAACAGCAAGAGAGAAACAGGGTCACAGCCTTAAATAATTCATCATGACCCTCTGGGGAGAGGTCTGAGACCAAGGCAAGACCAAGAGCCCCGCAGCCTTTTGCACAGCTCATCTCCTCCTGCCAGCAGGCAAGGCCATCACTCCACAACTAGAACATCAGCACTTCAATGGGCTCCACAAAAACACCCTGGTGCTCCCAAGCAARCACCAACAGGCAGAGGCTGTTGCTCCAGCCATGTACACTCAGCTTTGGCCCAAAGCCATGCAGGTGCTTCCACAGGGCTGCTCAGGGAGAGCAGCTCTGCCATGTGCTGGCTTTCCATGGCCCCATGGCACCCGGCAGCAGGAAGGGACCCTCCTGGCAAAGGCAGCAAACGGAACATGCACATTTTGGCCTTGCCACGGCAGCCTGTGGCACTGTGCAGACAGCCCTCCCACGCTGCAGTACCACATTGCTCCATGGCAATGGACACAGGACACTAGAGCACTTCTGGAGACACTTACCCACTTAGAGGCCTCGTTTTTCTAATCTCGAAGAACTGAGTTCCCGTGTGATTGTATCTGAGGTTTGTCTGTTAAGGGAAAGCAACGCAAGAAACAGTGCAACAATAAAGCCCAAAAGGTAAATACAAGTAATGCTAATTATAACATACTAACACTAACTCAGCTTGGCATTTGATGGTTATGAATTCTCTTTTCCCAGAGTTTGAAAAAGCTTCCGCTTCAGGCAAGGGAAAACATTTATAGCACACTGAAACCAATCATCATTCATCATTTGAAAAAATCTGCTTTCTTTAGTTTTAAACTCAGACATATGGAGCAACAGCACAGCAGGCGCATCCAATAACATCTAGGAACTATAAATCATCCTCTAAAAAACAAAAATCCTTTAGAATGTAAATAGCCAGTACAGCACAAGGGCACCAGTTAACAGTACAAGCACAGGTGAAAAGTGCATCGTAAAGGATGCCAGGGGACAGACAATCCATCAACTAGCACCCTGTCCAGACACTTACTTTTGCTGGTTATTTTTCTAGCAGAATCAGTTCCCAACCCAGCCACTGGAACACTTATGTAGAACTGAGGTGGCAAAACCAGGGCTAAGGGGGGGCAACTCTGCAGAGGCAAAGGGTGCCTAGCAAAATAGCACAGCTACTGACCACATAACTATGGCCTAAATAAGCCTCCAAATCATGTCAGGCACCTGGATGTTCAGAACTGACCTCAATTGGAGCTCAGAGTTCTCCAGAAATAACATTTTCTTTCTTTCCTGCCTTTGAAACTTACTTCATAAGGTCCATTCACAGAGTACTCTGGACAAAACATACGGCCTCTTTCAGYCCTAAAAGGAAACCAAACCCCATGTCTAAGGCCTGATTCTACTACCTACTGGAGTGCAGACTTTCAAGACCACTATGAAAGAAATGTAGCTGAGCCCCACAAGACAGGGTGTCCTCTCCAGCACGCCACTCCTTGCCACAATCAGAGGAGCAGAGCACAAGCTTCTCCTGTCCTTCCCAAGAGGCCCACGTGCAGCAGAGATGCCTCCCCTTGTTACCTGCTCTGCCTCCTCAAACACACAGCTCCTCTCTCCTCCTTCCTCCCACTGTTCTTGCTCTTACGGAGAGCACAAGACTCAGGACATGCTTCAGAAAGGCCTCAAAAAGGCCTTTCCAGGTAGCATAGCTGGCTATGCCACCCTATCCCAGCGACAAGCACCCCAGAGCAGCCAAGGAATGAGAGCAGCAAGTTCAGTCCTCAGGGAGCACCCAAGGGCTGCCAGTGCAGAGCGAGCAATGCTGTGCAAATACAATAGCTCTCCCTTTGCTGCTTTGKGAGGAGGTGACACAATATTCCTCCAGGCACCACAGTCTGATCATAACAGCCTGGTAAACCAGCTTCCCAATGAACATTTCTATTCTTACAGAGATGTCACTTCAGGTAAATGCTACGGTATCACTTGGAGGTAATTACACGGCCCAGATGACTGCTGTGACAAGCTCCGTGCTGCAGGTGCTACCACGAATCTGTAGCTGTGCCATGAGAGGAGCCTCCTCAGTCCCACAGGAAGCACAGCCTTTGCCAAGGGTGGATCGGGGCTCCAGGACATCCCCCAGTGACCCACTCATCCGCACTGCCCCAGAGCCRCGCGCTCCAGAAGGATACTGCAGCATCTTCATGTAGGTCTGTATTGCCTGAAGCCATTCCGGGATGGACATGCAGAGCTTGTAGTTTGGCACTGGTGGCACCGACGGCTGGACAAAAGGAAAATAAAGAGGTTAGAGAGTTAGCACTCCCTGCAGTGCTGGTAAGTGACTTACTTGGGCAGAGGCACATGCTTAGCGCCCCACGGCCCCGCAGCACAGACGGCTGGAACCCCTCACGAGCTCGGGCACCAGACAGAAACCTCCCCGCGCCCACCACAGTCTGAGCACCACAACACCAGGAGCAGGACGGGCCCCAGGCTCGGCCACCACAAGCAGCAGAGCCGCCCTGGGCCCTTCAGCACCACCCTAGCCTGGCAGGAGGGTGATCCCAGGAGCCAGATGCTCCGCTTTTCCCCCCACCTCCAATATAAAATAGTTCAAAAGAGGAGAGTTCCACCCAGCACTGGCTTTGTAATCCTCCCCTTCCCCAAAATTCACACCTAATTTTAGGTTTCCTCAACTTCAAGAGGAAAGAGATAAAACGAGGGAAAAGTCTTGGACACCACAAGTCTCCAGCTGCTGCTACAAGCTCCACGCTCACCAGCCACAACAGGCAGCCACAGACCCCAGGTAAGCCTGCAAAACCAGGGGTGACAGGACAGCTGGACAATCACCTGGGGCCCAGATATCTAATGACATTAAGATATAGGCTAGCACCTTAATGTGATTTTTTAAAAAAAATCCCATAAGGCGCTTAGGCATAAGCAGATGTCTTAAGAAGCCTGGCCCTCAATCCACATTTAATCCTCATAGCTAGGTGACTCCTTAGCCTATAACCCCACAAAGAAGGAGCASAGCCTGGCCATAAACACCTGTATTTTAAGGGCAAGGCTGCAAAGTGCACAGTCAGCCTATGTCAAGGCCGGGGAACAGAGGGTGAGGCAATAAAATCAAAGCCCCAAGAGAGATACCAGAGCAGTGGCCAGTACTGCGTGGCCTCATGAGCTTGTAAAGCAGTGGACAGTCTGACACGAGGGAGCTTAGTCCAGTTACTGCTACATAATTACTACAGCACTTTTGCTGCTTTCTGTCAAAATAGTCACAGTATATTATATTCCCTAAAGTCCCTCAGAAATGGCCACAGGAAGGCCATTCAGAAATGGCATTGATGCCCTAAGCTTCAACTCACAGATTATGAAGTGAAAAACACTGCTCTGAAGACACCAAGTCAACTATGATAGGTAAGATAGAGGAAAAAAAATACAATATATACAAAATATATCCCATAGTATAGAACTGTCCCCCTCACATAGACCTTGCCCTAGGGAATCCCACCTCACAAGCAGCTAGGGGTTTCAAGGCACCTRTACCCCCAAGGAGATCAACTACCTGCTGCAGCCAGGCAGCAAATAGGGGTCAGAAGAGAAAAGCAAAAACAGACACTCCTGTTTTATTGGTGTATATAGAAGAGTATGTTAAAAYGGAAAGGAAACAGATGGCCATGCCCCCAACATGCCATCATCATTAGCACCACAAGAGACCAAAAGAAACCAGTAATTCTGCACACAGTGGTAACAAGTGGAGGTTATTAGCAAGATTCATTAATGTCTCTTAATCACTGTTTCCACACATGATCTCCTCAGAGGTCCATTTTCTAATTCACAAGTTGTTTCCTCTTCCCTCACTCTCATTTTTTTTTGGATTTGGGAGCAGTAAATATTCACCTGTCACTCCCAGTGCTGGGGAGCCCCCAAATTCCTTCTAGAAATACTACCCAGGCAGCCCTCCACAGGCCAGTCTAGACCATCTGCACACTCACTTCCCAAGCCTGCCTGGCAAAACAAACACCCCAAATCCACTTATTCCTGGRAACAGTCCCACTAACCTGACCAAGTGGTTAGATGAGTGCAGGTAACCCCGGTGAGTCCTCGGGAGCGCTTGTGGAACTCTGCTCCCTATGGATTTCCCTCCGAGGGGACACGTACCACTCGGGGCTGCAGCACTTTAACACTGCGGGCTTCATGTAGCGCTACACAAATGTTTAGGGTACGGTGCCACAAACACTAGACCCTCAGCATATATCGGGGCTGCTACAACTCCTCCCGTACCGCCTACAAAGCATAAACACGGTGCGCAAACTCAGGGCAGAATCCAGCCAAAACCAACCCCGAGGAAACCCAAAAACAAACGCAAACAAATGCTCATCGTGATCCCGCGGCTGAGGGCGCGAGCAGGGAGCCCAAGGGCACCGGCACGGCCAGCAGCGCGGGGGCACGGGGCAAACACCCGGGCGGCACAGCCCACAAACAGGGCGGCAGAGCCCATTCCTCCAGGCTAGGGCGAGCCCAGGGCGGCCACCCCAGCACACGTCGCAGGACAGGCGCCACCAGCGAGCGTTCGTAGGGGACGGCAGAGCCGCTGCGCGCAAACGCAGACGCAGCGCGRCACATCGTGAATGTATAAAGCGAGTGAAATCCAGAGCAGACAGAGCAAAATCCTTGACCTTGTATCGGCCTTCCTGAGCACTGACAGCGCCAGACAGCAGAGCTCCTGCAGAGCAAGCAGCAGAGCTAAGTGTTTTACCAGAGCTGGTGGCYGTCCTATGGCTGGACCTACTCTGGCCTTAGCTCACCACAGCCCCCCGGGGGTGAGCCTCACCTCACACAACTCCACTGTGTGATATTTAACAACCACAAAGCCCTTTTTTTTGGTAGTTCAGCCTGCAAGTACTCTCCGTGTTACTTAGCATAAATGAAGCTGACATATGGTAGCCCTCAAAGCCGGTGACATTTAATTCCTTAAGACTCCCAAGCATCCAGGCTAGGTGAAGGATTGCACAGCGCTCCTGGACGCACAACCTGCTCTGCTCCCAGAGCTCAAGCCGAAAGCCCAACACGGGGCTGCAACCAGGTGGCCCTTCAGAGTCCGAAACCTGCCCGACCTCAGCCAGATCAGCCGCCGG